TTGCTCATGTTAATGGTTAGGGATTTGAGCAAACCACAAAACAAAGTACATAACTTCGGGATGTAACTCATTCTGCACTTTTCTGGAATGATACCTCAAATTAAGTGGCATGTTTAGAAGAGGTGTGTTACTTTTCTCGGGACCAGAATATCATCGAAATCTTCTTTACATTTTTTATTTTGCTAAGCAAAACATTTTGTTGTAAAAATCTAGCTCAGAATCAATGTGAGAGAAGTTTATGTACAGAAACATACAAAAAGTACTGGGCTACTACCATGACACAATTAAATAAAAATAAAAAATGAAGAATTTCCATGTTCTTTCTATGAGTTTCGAGTCGTTCAGGATTACCTGATAAGGAATATTTTTTACAAAAATCATTGATTGCACTCACAAAGTGTAACGTTCACACTAAAAAACATTTTCGAAATGAGTATAATAGAGTAGAATTATTTACATTAATAAAATAAATAATTATATTAATGTAAATACTATTATAATTTTAATATTAAAACAGCATTAAACATACATTTGTGTGACTTTTCTCAGATTTTCTTTAGGGATGAACAACATATTGGTGCCATAAGTTATCACTCAATATTAGAATAGTATTATTATTATTATTGGTATCAGCTGATACTGAATATTTCATTGTGCATGCCCATTTTCCTTATTTTTTTTTACATGTAGATCTTAATCTTTAAAAATGTAAATAATTTAAAATGGCTTATGAAAATTCTGTCATCATTTACTCTCCCTCATGTCGTTCCAAACCCATAAGACTTTTATTCATCTTCGAAATACAAATGAAGATATTTTAATGAAAACTCCATGTAACCATGTGTCAAGCAAGCATAATTGATATGCTATGCTATTTAAGCTATGTTTATTTGTGAATAGAAGCTTAAATTAAATCTGTTTATCATATTGTGTGTCTTCAGAAGACTTGGATTAAACCGCTCTGTTCATATGGATTACTTTTAAAATGTTTTCTGAACTTTTCAAAACAAAACAAAATTTCTTAGGTTACCGAAATCAAGTTATAAATATTTCAAAATGTCTCAGGTTAAAATATCCTAATTTGTGTTTTGAAGATGAACAAAAATCTTATGGGTTTGGAACCACAAGTGGATGAGTAAATGATGACAATTTTCATTTTTGGGTGAACTAACCCTTCAATAACACTGTTAAATGTAATTTTGAAAATCTTATTATTCATCTCATTATTATCTCATCATTTATAATGCCCAAATTCACTTGTAGCATTTAAAACAATTGATTTGAGCTTTTAGTGCTATATTTTTTAATTATTTAGACAAAATAGAATAGAATTTATTATTAGTGCATCCCTATTTTGTATTAATTTCCTGGAATTTTCCAGGCCTGGATATCACGATGTTAAAACTTTCTTACATTCACAGGTTTTCCATGTCTGTGGAAACATTTTTTGTTAGTATGCAGTGTTGAGACCATCGGCTGATCACAATCTCTGGGTCACACGTGCCCTTTGGACACCCAGCAGCTAATAAGAATGAAGCATGACAAAGTGGCTTCCCAGGTCTAATCTGTGAACAGCCTGGCAGTGTTTCTCTTGAGAGAGAGGTGAGAGAGATTGTGTGTGTGTGTGTGTGTGTACCTACTTAACCATATTTTGGGGACAAATTTGTACCCAAAAGTAGGCCTGGGCGATAAAACGGTATCGATATTTATCGACGGTACACCTTCATCGATAACGATATAAAAAATGTTCGATATAGTGCACGATATAGGCACGTACTATGAGTGATGCAGACAGCACACACAAACACGAACACATGCTGAATTGAGTGCTGTGCCTGCCTGTGATGAGGAGATTGTAAAAACATTAATATTACTTGAATTTAAAATAAACATTTGCATTTGAATGCAAAAATGGTACAATCGAATGTTAGGAGTGCGTCAGGAAGCGTCATCAGTGGTGCGCGAGATGCGGTGATGATGATGTAAGTGGCGTTGCATTTTAATGTTTTGTTAGTCTAGCCCACGAGACGCGCCGCTGCTGTGTTATTCATTCAAATCATTAGAGAAATATAGTAGCTCAATGCATAGAAGATCTTGATTAGGTTAAAACCGAAACTAAGCCATTCCCACAGAACGCATATTCAACATGCATTTTTTAGACGGACAAATACTCACGTCTCATGCAAGAGATGCAAAGAAAGTAATGCAAAGTTAAAACAGTTTTAACGTTTAGAAAACGCAACGCGCCTCTGCCTCCCCCTTCTCGTTTTTGGGATAGATTACAAAGCATAATTACCAAATTTGTCTGGAATGGCAAACGACCTCGTCTTAAACTTTCCACAATGCAACGTAATAGATTATCTGGTGGTCTTTCACTTCCTAATTTTAAGCTGTATCACTGGACTTTTACACTTCGTCCCCTAGTTAGCTGGTATGATGACAAAATTGAAGTTTCTTGGCGTTCGTTGGAGGAAAATCTGGTTCTTCCTTTAAAGTTGGATGAAGTTTTATTTGCTAATATTCCTCTAAATAAGTGTAAACTCCGTTTCGGTCCCGTAGTGTCACACTGGAGAGCAGTAGAAATCTAATAGGAATCCCTAGTCTCCTATTTTTAATAATGATGGCTTGTTAATTGGCAAGCACCCAATTAAGTTTGGCCAGTGTTGACTGTGGTATGACAAAGGGATTCACTCCTTGGGTGATATAATGGGCGACAAGGGCCTTTATACCTTTGAAGAACTTTCTATTCAGTTTAACCTGCAAAGCTCCATCTTTTTTTTTTACTTACAGTTGAGGGCAGCCATGAAGGCCTATGGGGTCCCTTGGATGGCTCCTCTCAAAGAGCACTTTTTATTGAAAGTAATATGTGAGACCCCGGGAACAAGAGGATTTGTTTCTAAATTATATGGTTATTTTCTGGAAAAAATGTATCCTCCTTGATAATAGACTCTGCTTAGCGGGCAGATATTCTGGACCTTTCTCCCAGTTTTGATTGGGACGGAGTCTGGGTTATTGTAATGTATGCTTCAAGGAATCCGGATCATCAACAAATCCATTTAAACTTTATTCATAGGACTTATATGACTGGCTTGACAGCGGCCAAGAAAATTGTTGCAACAAGATGGAAGCCTCCACATTCTATTAATAAGCAATATTGGGTTCTCACATTTATAGACGTGGTGTATCTTGAATTGTCCACTGCTCGCCTTCATGGCGCCAGAGAGGACACCATTAGACTTTGGGCTCATACTTTAGAGAAGCTTAAAGGTTTATTAACTTGAATTAAGGAGATTCACCCCCCTCCCAAATACACTCTTTCTGGTCTTGGGCTTTTTTTTTAATTTTTTTATTATTTTATATATATATTTTTTTTCATATATATTGATTTAGAGTCGTGTTTAAGGTTCCCTGTTTGGGTTATAAATGCCTCTTTTTTTATTGACGTAGACTTCTTTCAGCGCTGTTCCAATTGCTTGTATGTCAAGATTTTTGTATGGATATATATTTCTTTTTACATAAACTTTTGTACATGTATAGTCTTTGTACTTTGTATATTTTGGAGTATATTAGGTTTTAAATATTGTTTCGTATATTTCGGCCATTCACCCTTCAGTTTAACTGATTAGTTTTAACCAAATTATTATTATTATTATATTTTTTTTATAGATATACCTCTATTTCATTTATCACGGTCTTTGTTTTTTGTTTGTTTTTTTCAGTTGCACAGCTGATTGTTTGTCTGTGTTATTCTGTATATTAAACAATGTCAAAACAATAAAAAATTGATGAAAAAAAATTACATGCAGCGATAACTTTCATTATCTTTCTAAACAATCAATTCTTCACTTAATATGAAGAAAATTACCGCATTCAGGCTAAATCCAATGAGATGATCTAATGCACTAACAACAGTGTTACCATTATTAACTTTATTATTTTTATGTTATGGCTGATAAATGGCATATATGAAAATGTTGTACTATTTTGTAAAAAAATAAATAGTGAGGTAGATATGTGGGGGAGTGTTAGAACGAGCCGTTTTAGGGGGGCGTGGCAGAGTCTTAACTTTGATAAAGAATATCTCTTTGGTTTTGAGAGTTTAGTCTTTGCAACTTCAGGGATCTTATCTATGCACAATCAGCTTGTAACACTCCAAAGAGAAAGGAAAACTTGAAATCGCATCATATGACCCCTTTAAGACTTATTTAATCTGCATATAAAACATAAGAAAGGAGATATTTGTTGAAACTTTATTTTGTGTTTGACTGTTAAAAAATAATATATATGACTATATATATTTGTTGTTTGTCTTAATAAAGTGTGCAAACTAAAAATACAGTGGTTAAATTTTTAGAAAAAAAAATAATATTGCTCTGTTTTAAAAAAGGTAATAAAAAATGTCAATAATTATCGATACCGAACGATATGAAACATATATCATTGATATATTTTTTAGCTACATCGCCCAGCCCTACCCAAAAAGTGAGCAAAACCCGCCAAAAACCTCCATTTGGGGACGTCCTCATTTGTAAAACTGGTATAAAAATAAAGTAAACAAAGTTTTTTTGAAATTTTAAAAGTGCAGAAAGTTTTCTGTGAGGGGTAGGGTTAGGGGTGGGTTTAGGTTAAAAAGTATATAACTATCTGTATATAAAAACAATAGAAGTCTATGTAATGTCCCTATATAGATATATGTGTAAGTGTGTGTGTGTGTGTGTGTGTGTGTGTGTGTGTGTGTGTGTGGTGTAGACACTTGCAGTCTTGACTGGCATTTACACTTCTCAGGCAGGCACCGTCACTCTAATTATTTACTCAGGCAGCTGGGATGGGGCTGTATGCCAGCAGAACAGCAGACGTACACAGAGAGTGATCCTTAAAAGTGGACACTGCTGCCACAGCGGGACTCTAAGCTTATGTTCAACACACTATTAATAACAGAGTATCTATCCACCCTGGAGATCTGTGAGGACAGAGATGCTGTTTGATGATGCATTCCCTACCTGTACTCAATGAGCTGGTCTTTGTGCGTCCATGTGACATAGGCTGTGGGATATCCTGTCACCACACAGGGGAGCAGAACGCTCTCGCCAACGAATTTAGACACATGCTGAGGCTTCAGGAGAAACTCCAGGGTCCTTTCTTCCCCGGATTCTGTACAAAACAGAGAAGTGAATTCACAGTCAATGTCTGTCCCAGTGCTAATGTTATTTTAAATTATTTAAATAAATTACTTTCAAAAAGATTTTTATTTTTCTGTAAAAAATTGAAACATCCTTAAAACAAAGTAAATCTACATGAAAAGTTAAATTGCATATACTATTACAAATGTTTTTAGAGAATATATTTTTCTATTAAGTTGAAACCTTATTGACAACATTTTTTTCCCTAGTACTAGTCAACCCAAAAATGATAATTCTGTCATGCCATTCCAAAACTGCATGACTTTCTTTCTTCTGCAGAACACAACATTAGATATTTTGAGAAATGTCTCAGGGTCCATACAGTGGTCAATGGGGTCCAATGTTGTTTGGTTCTCAGTATTTGGTTCTGAACCACATGAGGGTGAGTAAATGAGGATATACATTTTTTTTTGAGTGGACTTTTTAAACATGAATTTAATACAATTTAGGCTTCTGTTTTGCTTTAAAAAAGGTGGGGTAAGAAAAGAAAAATATGCAAAATCAGGATATATTCTCCTAAAACAAATGTTATTCTTACTCCCCAAGATAATTTGTTAAAATATGATGTTTAAATAGACTAAAAGCATATATAACATTTAAATATATATATATATATAAATATAAATCATGACAGAATTTTTCTTTTTGGATGGACCATCTCTTTAAGTATGAATTCTTTTTCTTTTTTGCTTAAAAAGTGGGGTAAGAAAAAATTGGGTTAATTTCAATTAAGACAAATGTTATTACCCTATACAGTTTACAGAATTTTACTTCCCAAGTTAAAATATTTGGAATTATACTGGAAAACAAGAACAATACTGTACAGTACAACAAGAAAATGGAAATTTTCCATCAGAAAAGTGTGACCTTGTTGACTGTTTGATCTTACTGATTAAGAGTGAAGTGCATCATATTTGCGCCACTAGTCGCAACAAATTGAATGAAAACTATACTGAAAGAGTTTTGCAAAAGCTTCCTAACACATGTTTTCGGCTGCCATTGGTCAGATAAACAGTTTGTCCCGCCCCAAACTCACACTATCAGTTGAGCCTGAGTTTGACATGTTGTGATGATCAAACAAACAGCAATGTTTGGGGGAAAAAAATTACAAATGGCTTACTTACATTATTTATAGCATTTATTTTAACATTTACAGCATACACCTTTTAGGCTTAAGCTTTTAAAAAGCTTTCTCTTTAAACCTCATTATTATTTTTTTCAGTGAGGGAAAAAGAAATTCAAAAGGAGTGTATATTTCTGCATCATGTTGCCTTCTGCGCCATGTTTAGTGTGACAACCTCCGTGCTTCAGGCCTGATTTATGTTCTTTAATATCTGACTCTGTGACTGCCTGGAAAACTAAATCTGCATGCTGAATATCTGCCACAAAGGAGCTCAGTTCTCTTTAACTATAGCATAATTTACATAGTTCTCTTTGATAACACCACATGTGGCCAACCTGCTCCAGGAGGCCTACTTTAAAACTCTCTCTCTCCTCTCAAATGTGTGAGTTTCAGTAGTGCATGAAAAATCTACGAGAATCAATTGATTCTGAATCATCAGAATTAATGTCTTGCATTTTTTTTTTTTGTGAGGAATGCAGGGGAATTGGCCTTTTCATTATAAATGCCAGCGAATTGGACATGGACATAATTTAATTTGCAACATTACAGTATGGTTGATGATATGATTCCAAGTATGGAATAGGGATATGTATGGAAATATGGATTATTTACCAGGCAGTATCTGTATTTCTGCTTCTTCACTGGTCTTGGTGGGCCCAGCGTTGTCGATCACACAGCGGTACAGTCCAGCATCTGCCTCTGTTGCGTTACTGATGACAAGAGCCCCGCTGGGCAGTGTGAAGACTCTCTGGTCCAGCTCAACCGGCTCTTTGTTTTGTTCCCAGCGGTTGAAAGACACCAGGTCTGGATTCACCTCACAGTTCAGCACATGACTGTCACCCACCCGCACTGATGCAGCTTCCGGCTGACTCAGGTACCGTGGTATACCTAAAAAGAGTAGGCGAGGAAGAAATCAGAATAATTGCAATAAATTCATTATCGCATACTGGTTTGCAATAAAGTTTGATCTTCTGCTTAAGAACTACATGCCATAAATAGAAAGTGTTAAGCAATTATTGTGCTAAGTGAGTATATGAAATGGCATTCACTTTGGTAAACTGGCAAGGCTTTTGAAATGTTGAAATAGCAAGAAAAATGTCTAAAGCTATTTGCCTGTAGGCTAACATAATTTTCTCTGTCTGTGTGATCTATGTGCTTTAGAGGCAGAGGAAGTTATTGCATTTTGATTAATTGAAGACAATTATGTGCACTGAGGAATCATGCACAATAAGATAATAAGCAATTATGGTCTGTTTTAATTTCATGTCGACTTTTTTTTTAAGTTAAAGGGATAGTTCACCCAAAAATGAAAATTTGATGTTTATCTGCTTACCCCCAGGGCATCCAAGATGTAGGTGACTTTGTTTCTTCAGTAGAACACAAACGAAGATTTTTAACTCAAACCGTTGCAGTCTGTCAGTCTTATAATGGAGGTGAATGGGAATCACGGCATTGAGAGTTAAAAAAAACATACACAAACAAAACCCAATTAAACCCTGCTGCTCTTGACGATACATTGATGTGTAAAGACAGTATTTATATAGTTTTTTACCTCTTTTGCACTGCAGTGTCTGAACTGTCCTGAGCGCGTCCTCGACAGCTGGCGTGTGACGTGTCGTCTTCTTCTTCTTGCTTTATGTGCTCAGGACAGTTCAGACATTGCAGTGCATCAGAGGTAAAAAACGATATAAATACTGTTCAGTTTCTTGCACAGACCGATCGTTGTGTGTCTTTACACATCAATATATCGTCACGAGCCGCTGGGTTTAGTTTGGTTTTGTTTGTGTATGTTTATTTTGACTCTCAAAGCTGTGATTTCCATTCACTTCCATTTTAAGACTGACAGACTGCAACGGTATGAGTTAAAAATCTTCTTTGTGTTCTACTGAAGAAACAAAGTCACCTACATCTTGGACACACTTGGGGTAAGCAGATAAACATCAAATTTAAATTTTTGGGTGAACTATCCCTTTAATTATCTTTCTTCCATGCTCAGAGATTCAAAAGTGTCTCTTTAGAGGTAAAAAAAAAAAAAATTTAAAAACCCAAGGGCACAATTTACCCTCAAACCTCGGTAAATGAAATGGATGGTGCTGAAAAATAGTCATGGCATACAAGTGTTTACACTTTCTGGAGTTCCCCTGGTGTCCCTCAAGCGGAGAACCTGACAGGAACCTCGTCTGTAAGCAGGAAGTGGTACTGACAGGCTTCTAAGTCACAGATTTCTCTGCTCCTCAGCCCTGGCAAAGTGATAAAGTCCAGAGAAATGACTCTACATTAATTCTGGGGTGTTTCAACTATTTATGATTCATTTATTATTTTGCAGGTGATATATAAAATTGAACAAGATAACAAAAACTTTCATTTTCACGAATCAGTTCAAACTATCTGATTGATAACTTTGATTCAACAAATAATTTAAATTCCCTGCATGGCATTTTTATATATTAAAATAATTTTTTATGTGATAATAACAATAATATGAAAAATCGTACTGTAGGTAAATATTGCTGTTCAGTGTTTGGTGCTGGAATTTTATATTGGTGTATATGAAAATGTATCTGTTCATTTAGTGAAATTCTCTTCATTTAAACTAGACTTTTTTACCTCTTACTACAAATGTTTTGATTCTACTTTGTTACAGTATTAGATATAATATAATATTTTTATATATAAAACGTTTGGGGTCAGTAGGATGTTTAAATGTTTTTGAAAGAAGTCTCTTATGCTCACCAAGGCTGTATTAATGTGATTAATAATACAGTCAAACAGTAATATTGTGAAATATTATTACAATTTAAAATAACTTATATTTGAATATATTTTGAAATGTAATTTACTCCTTTGAAGCAAAGCTCAATTTTAGCATCATTATTCCAGTCTTCAGTTTCACATGATCCTTTAGAAATCATTCTAATATATTGACTCCACTTAATCACAGTTCCCTCTCATTCAGTAAGGTACTCATTTTACATGTTTCTCTACAGTATCTGCATCCTGCCTCAAATGGAAGTATAAATCACAAAGAGATCTCTTTAATATCTACCTTGTGGGAAAAGTACACTTTAGCACACTTATTACAAAAAAGAGTACTATTATGAAAATAATATACTTTAATATACTTAAGTACAAACTGAATGTAATGATTTTGAAAAGTAAACTGCTTGCTAATTGAAATTGAATGGAAATGCATTATACTTCAGATTTATTTAATTAGCTGAACTATAGAAGGTTTTTTGAACCACTGAAGTATGACTTTAGTCTACCTTCATATATAATTTCATTTCTATTAAAGGGGTCATATGATGTTACTAAAAAGAACATTATGTAGTGTATTTGGTGTAATGCAATGTGTTTATGCGGTTTAAGGTCTAAAAAACACATTATTTTCCACATAATGTACATTATTGTTGCTCCTCTATGCCCCGCCTTTCTGAAATGCGTCGATTTTTACAAAGCTCATCAGTCTGAAAAGCGAGGTGTGCTCTGATTGGCCAGCTATCCAGTGCGTTGTGATTGGCTGAATACCTCAAGCGTGTGACGGAAATGTTACGCCCCTTACCATACTGTGATGCCGTGTCCCGGCGCGATGAAACAACACCAATAAAACCCATTACAAACAAGGCCTTTGTTGCATCCAGTGGGGACATAATTACCGATTATAATGACTTATACTGTCTTTTTACGTGTTGCGTATCGCGCCAAGTAAACATAAAACCATGTCTGCATTTGTGATCGGAGAAACGACAAACAACAAGAGCTACTCTACACTGCTTAAAATTCATGTTTGAATCGTCAGTGTCAAATTCTTTAAATATAAAAAACTTACATAAAGGCTGTGAGTCAGAAGCGCCAGACTGTCCTTGCAAAGTTGGAACTGCCCCAATTTATAGAAACAGCCTTTGTGCACAGACACATTGTAGGCTACTCTGCAGGTTCAGGAAACAGTCCTCCATAAAATGCACTGCACACATCTGAATATTTGGGTTGAACTGTTCTGGAACAGTGTTGTAAATACAACTTAACCACTGATTTCTAGTTGTGTTCTCTTTTGGAAGGCCAAACAAAGTATTTTCGCTTTCACAACGAAACACACAGCATCACACACGGCGGGCTAGAATGAGCGGCGGCCGTCGGGCTTGAGAACGGCGCAGCCGGCGGATTCGACGAAGGAACAGCCGGCGGGCTTGCGGCAACCACATGTGACGAGCCCGGGCTGGACTCCGCTTCATCCCTTGCAGGTGAACAAAGACTCATGCATGAAAATATCTTTGTGAGAGTCTAGGAGAAAGGAGTGATGGGGTTTCCTTTGTCTGGCATTAGTCCATTACAGACATGCCATGCTCTCACTCTCTCTTAACGTGAAAGATCATGCAGTGAGAGATGCAATCAGCTGCTGGCTCTGGGTGAACAGAGAACAGCATTCATTCATCTCCACAGGCTCTGCTTTATAACAGCAGACAGAAAGGTTTCACAGAGCATGATGTGGGCTTTTAATCCCCTTATAAACTATACACAAAATCAAGGTTTAACAACAGAACAGCTTTTATACTCTTAAAGGAAACATTCTGGGCATTTCTGTTCACTAAGTACTTTTTAGAGAGAAAAAAAAATCTAGACAGTTTATTATACCTCTGTACAGCTAGAGGACATACAGTATAACATATTTACAATATATATGTAAGGGATAACAAACTACATTTTTTTCTTGCAAAATAACCCCTTAGAGGGTGATTAATACCATAATGCAAAGTGGTTGAATGTATTAGATTTATTATGTAACTATTTAGCAAATTAATAAATGCATAAATGCATTAATGGAAATTTAATATTGATTCAAGTTTAAATTATGTTTTTATGTGAGAAGGCAGGCAGTGCAGAGTGATATGAGGCATGAAATTATGTAAATATTGATGTGACAATATAGGTAACTTCTGTTGGTGCATGTAAAAATTATTAAATTAAAATTATTCTTGTAAATAAATGAGGGGTGCTCCGATCAGAATTTTTGAGGCCGATCACCGATCACAGAAAGCAGTATCTGCCGATACTGATCTGTTTAAAGGGGTCATATGATGCGATTTCAATTTTTCCTTTCTCTTTGGAGTGTTACAAGCTCTTGGTGCATAAAGAAGATCTGTAAAGTTGATAAGACTAAAGTCTCAAATCCAAAAAGATATTCTTTATAAAAGTTAAGAGTCAACCACGCCCTCCTAAAACGGCTCATTCTAACACGCCCCCACATGTCTACGTCACGATGTGGGAAGATTTGCATAACACTGCCCAAACGTTCACGCAAAGAAAGGCGGCGTAACTTTTATTCTCGCTGTAATATTGTTGTTGCCGCTGCTGCCATGTTGTGGAGATGCTGTGTGTTTCGTTGTGAAAGCGAAACTACTTTGTTTGGCCTTCCAAAAGAAGACGATATCCACTTCGTCATGCCTAGAGCTGATCCGTGCTGGTCGCTGAGGAAATACATCAACTTTGCGCTGTGGATCGCCGGATCGGCTTTCACCGTGGACGAAGCGGAGTCCAGCCCGGGATCGTCACATGTGGTTGCCACAAGCCCGCCAGCTGCTCCTTCATCGAATCCGCCGGCCGCCGCTCACTCTAACCCGCCGGCTGTTCCTCACTCTAGGTCCCCGGCCACCGCTCACGCTAACCTGCCGGCCGTTCCTCACTCTAGGCCGCCGGCCACCGCTCACTCTAACCCGCCGGCTGTTCCTCACTCTAGGTCCCTGGCCGCCGCTCACTCTAACCCGCCGGCCGCCGCTCACTCGAGCCAGCCGTGTGTGACGCTGTGCGTTTCGTTGTGAAAGCGAAACTACTTTGTTTTCCTACCTCCACGAGTGCCATCTATTTTTACCTGGTTTATCTAAAAGTGCTCT